CTCTCTCTGGAACAAGTGCCAAAAGTGTCACCCCCTGTCCCACCCATCCTACCCTCTCCATTGCACTTTGTAGCAGGGGTGGATGAGGGTGCAGGAACTGCACCCCACCCCTCCGTCCCCAATCCTCCCTCCCCATCCCTCCATCCAGCACTAGGCTGACAGCATAAGCAGGTTTTGCCCCGGGGACAGGCACACAAGGACACCGATGGGGCAGGGACCCAGCCACAGCCCTCGGGGACAGGATGGGGCCCTTGGCAGAGGCCAGGCTCCACCCCAGAGCGCATCAGGAACAGTCAGAAGCCACCCTGAAGAGCATCAGACCCAGCATCCTGATCTAGGGAGCTCTGGAGCTGTTTGGGCCAGCCTGGGGAGAGGAGGCTGAGCCCCCCTTTTCCCTACCCGGTTTTGTCATGCTGATGTCGCAGCAAAGGCCACCTCCTCCTCACAGAAGGAAACTGTGTTTCGGAGCCACCTTAGGACAGAGATGTTCATAGAGTGAAAGCACCCAGCAGCTGCGGGGTGCATGCAGGGAGCAGGTCCCCACCGCCCGTCCCCATGGCGGAGCACAGCGTAAACTCGTGGCCGTGGCTCCTAAAGGGAGATAAAGCCCTTTATGGGGCCGGGGGCTGTTTTCTCTGCCTGGCTCACAGCCGGGGCTGCGGTAGCTGCTTGCTGTATGGCCCCAGTGTGGTCCTGCCAGAGGGGAGATTGGTGTGGGTGACCCTGCTCCTGCCTCCTCCAGGCTGGCACCCTGTGGTGTCTCTCTTAGCTCAATAGCTCCCAGATTCCTCCCTGGGAACCCAGAGCTGGGTGCTTGATGGGGGTGATATCTCCAAACCATGGGTCCTGTGGGATGGGAGCTGCTAACAGCAGGGAGGGCTGGAGCAGGAGGGGACAAGCATGTGCCCTGCTCAGCGACATGATGCCATGGTGGGGGTACCCACAGGTTTGGATGTCCTGGCCCTGAGGACCCAGAAGCACCATGCTGGGCCCAGGGAGAGCTTTGGGGGTTCACCATCATGCTGAGCTGAGAAAACCAAGGTGGGACCACAACTGCTCCTGCACCCTCGGGCATGGGCAAGAGAGGGAAAATCAGGCTGATGCGCCCAGGGTGGCTTATCTGCCAAAGCTCACCGTTCCTCACAGTTTCAAAGGGGACAATGAGAGCCCTCCAGGCCTGGCCAGGCACCATGGCATAGGGCTGCGATGGTGCTTGTGGCTGCTGGCAGGTCAGGGCAGAACAGGCAGATCCTTGCTCAGGAGGGTCCTGGGAGGTGACTGGGAGGGTTTTCCAGCTGCTCCAAGCTGTGTGTCTGCAAGGCTGCAGGAGCAGTTAGGCAAGCTCACAGGGTGGCTGCAGACTGGGACGGCTGCGTGTGGGTGCCTGCAGCTCGCTCAAAGCGGCCGCGGCTGCCAGCGAGCACAAAGCAATAGGAAGGAGCTGGGAAGAAGGCTGTGGCTGAGCAGCGTGCTGCTGCCGTGGTACGAGCACAGAAATGAGCATCCTCCAGCGTCCTCCACCGTGGCACAGGAGGGACAGGATTTTGGCATAGGTGACACCAGCACCGTCCTCGGCCACCCAAAAGGGAAGAGGGGGAGGCAGGAGTCCCCAGTGCCAGCAGTGTGGGGTGAAAGGCAACAGCCCCTTGTCTTGTGGGGCAGCCCCTTGTTCCAGCAATCCACCCGTCAGGGATCTAAGGAAGGAAACTAGATTGCTGCTTATGACTTTGTTTTGAGCATGTTTTGGATTTTAAGAGTATGTTTAATAAAGGGTATCTTATGTCGACAAAGCATCCAGAGTCCTTTCGTGGTTACAAGGTGAGAGCAGTTGTGGGCTTGGCAGCTTGGTCGGTGGAAACCCTTTTTGGCTGGGAGCATCCACCCACCCATCACCCAGGCACCTCCTCAAAACCAGCCCAGGTGCTTCAAATCTCCTAAAACACTTCTCAAGGACCCCTCCAACCCTTATTACCCAACTGTCCCGAACCCTGCCTCTTCCGAGCCCTGCCAGGATGGAGAAGGTGCGAATGAAAACTCTGCAGGAAGAGTCTGCCCTGGGGTAGCGGCATTGCCCTGGCAAGGCCAGGCAGATGGCACAGCCTCAGCAGCCCCTGGCACTGCTGGGGTGGATGAGGACACCCAGAGGGGACCTTTCTTGGAGGAGAAGAGGAGCACTGAGGCGCTGGGTGCTCACGCAGGAGAAATCCTTCCAGTGCTGGGGAAGAAAACTTGTGCTGGGACCTGATGCCTTGAAGGTGAGGAGGACTGTAAGGGGGAGGTTATAACTTGATTTTAATGGAGGGGGCTGATATGTGGTGGGGGAAAGCACCTTGCAACTGTAGAGGGAGGGCGTGTGGGTGGCCAGATCCTGCAAAGAGGGAGGATGGGGATGGAAGAATGGAGGTCTGAAGTGGTTTGCCCCAGGCTGTTCAGGAATCACAGAATGTTCGGGGTTGGCAGGGACCTCTGTGGGTCACCCAGTCCAACCCTCCTGCCGAAGCAGGGTCACCCAGAGCAGGCTGCACAGGACCTTGTCCAGGTGGGTCTGGAATATCTCC